AAGCTCTCAAAGAAGCTCTCACGCGGATGGTACGTGGTCTGGCTGGTGCACATAGCTTAAAGCCTCGGTTGTCTTGGTCACTGGCATCATCAAAGTACCACGCTTATCGATACAATATATATAGTCACAGCGACAACCTCGAAATTCACCGTTTTGTGGGCGAATCCCTGTTCGTTTCGTAGCTACTGTGCGATCGAGCGCCAATCTTTGAATGAATGTCGTTCATAAACCGGAAGTATGCGGGTGCGTGCATGCATACATACACGCACAGGTGTCCCGACAGAAACGGATAAACAAATCCGGGACGAAGAATTCCATCCCAAGGCGAAGTGAAACTCTCTGAATTCGTGAATATTGTGAATGAGTGCATGGCTGAATAGTCGGTGCTCTGGTGTGTTGATTGACAACGTAAATCGTCGCTACCAAAAAGACACCTGTGAGGATGGACAGTTATCAGATTCCTTGGAAAGTTGGTTAATGGAGTAAATAAATATATAAATTTATGACTGAATGATCAAATGGATAGATGGATGCACGGATGAATGGGTGGGTGATACCAGATGTATCGATATAGGACTGAGATCTGGAAATTGATGCAAGCTTTGCAATGAGCATCGGTTGAGATGATCCAACCCTCCGAGGTAAGAGCTACGCGTAACAGTTTCAGGATTACCAGTCAAAGGCCAAAATTCAAAACCAATCAAAAACCCAGTGATTCTACCAGGAGTCTTCACACTAGAGGAGTGCGAAAAGCGCTTGGTTGATGCCTGATTATTCAGTGAAATTCCTTTCTGCATGATACTTAATTCCCTTCAATAAAAGAAGCGCTGCTTCTGAGGCCTGTTTCCTACTTCTCTGTTTGAGCAAAGTTTAACTACTGACTGCCAAGGTGATCCCATGTTTTGATATTGATCATGCACCCAACTCCTGATTTGTGTATGTTCTGAGTATCACAGGGATCCGATGATTTAAGCAGAAAGCTAAGCGAATTTTTTCAAAAACCAACATTTAATCCGATAAGTATTTGTTGATTTGAGTACTTGTTTGATTTCAGTGGGGAAAACTGACCGCTAGGCAGCAGAATTCGTAATGGTACACCAATCTAGAAGATGGTAATTGACGCTGGAAACTATGCACACGTTTTCACGGAGTAGAATGTCATTTATTGTGCTGTTCTACCAAGAGAACAAACAAATAACTATCCATGGCGTTCACCATCAGTTTCCCCCCGTCTATCAATCTGTTTAAAATATATTCTGCTATCAACCTCTACAAATGTGCATGTAAATCTGGTGTATAAGCCCTAGCGATATATAGAGTGACCCTGGGGTTGGTTCAATGTGCCAATCACTGGCGCTTTGCTGACGTCATCTGAGAAGCTTGACTCATCCTAGTTGTCCAGATGCTGTAACGTGTCGCCCCGTGGTTTGCGTAATCCCGTAAACTAGGATCACCACAAGCTGATTGCTACATGAACATCAAGCAACTCGTACAGGTAATATCGAGAACCTGGTCCACCTCTGAACACAGCTTTTGGTACGCCCGGATTCGCCCCTACCAGTCTAGGATCTTTCTGTGTACCGGATCACCATTTGTCTTCTTTGTTTATGAACTGTCCACGTTCACACACACACACACACACACACACACACACACACACACACACACACNTGTGAACAAAGCTGCTATCGTCCACTGGGACAGCCGATGGAATCGGGCTGTGATGTGCCTGTTTGTCCACCTCTTCCGGGTTCTGAACCACAAGTAAGAAAATTTGTACTTCAAAAACTGCCCCCCCCGCACTTTCCTCCTCCCGTGGAGCGTGATTGGGTAATTTCAAGTTCCAGTTCAAGTCAGTAGCAGCCCTATGCCCTTCGCCACGCTTCACGATGGGTGTTTTCCCAGTATTCCACATCACACATTTGTGGATGCAAACTTAGAACCTCGGGCAGAATGAGACTGAAGATTATCAGATATCGTTTTTGTCAATGAAGCAAGTAATTACGAAATTTTGTGCAAGCTTTATCGTTGTCAACAAGTATATATGCGAGATATGACAAGACAGAATTGTGATATGAATAGGTTAATACAAGCAAAGTTTGAAGCTTGCACATGTGGATGAAAGTTGTTTGTGAAATGGGTGATTCGTGTTTCAGAACATTTTGGCCATAAAATTTCCATGTGCTTGTAGGTGTCTATCCATGGGAGAGTCTGCAAGTTTATCTCTGGTGGAGTACGCATACATTCACAAGTCAAACAATCAACAATCAAGTATTTCTAATCAAAGTGAGAGAAATAAAAGCTTTCTAACTCTGCAGAATGTGTCTTGAATGTGCAGTGATGATGTAATAGTCGGAATAGGCATGAGTCACGGATCGTGAATCACAGTTGCAAATGTAGCACGAGATAGAACTAGCAACTGTGCGCTGAAATCTCCCGTTACCGAGACACAGGAAAAAGGCCACCGAAGAAGCGGTTAGGTGTTTAAGGGAAATAAATCACACGTACAAATAGATTCCGTTGGTCAAATAAGTCTTCACCAATAGTGTCTTTGCATTCTTTACGTTATATAGCTTATATTTGAACTGCACAGGTTCTGATTGGTCGTCAGTGATGGCGTGTGGTTCGCTGTTGAGAAACAGTAATGCAGCATCCCGTGGCTGGCGTTATCTCAGAGGCTAGGATCACAATAATTGTGGTTGTATGACGCCAGGATATTTTATCCTTGTTGCTTTCGGTATGGGTTCATAATTGGATTAAAGCGTATGAAATCTATTTCGAGGCATTCATTCTAATCGTGAAATAATCGTGAATCAATCCGCAAACGTTTGGATTAACTCCACTTTTGGTAATCACCTTGAGCAATATCGATCGATCAAGTCTGCAGAATGCGTTTTTTAGTTTAAAAGCACAATGCTGACGGTCTTACATTTCCTATCTGCAGTAATGAGTGGATGAGGTCATCAACGGGCGTCAAGTGTGACACGCGCAGAGCGATATGCAAATTGACGCACATCATCTTCGGCAGATTCAGTGACTACCAACAGTAGCAAGATTCTCTCAAATTATTTGATCAAGACTGACAAATAGGCGATGGGACGGTACTTCCCAAGTTCCTTTTTAGAGACGGAAGTTATCTTGGCCGGTCTCCACTTATCAGGTATTCATTGGATATGTTAAATAGGGGGACTGAGTATCACGATTGATAGTTCATCCGAATAAGACGGTTTGTTCATTTTCGTACAGTATGTACTGATCGATCGAAGTTCTAAGAAGAGCTTTTGTGCCTTCCGCTCAGGTTCGACCACAGGTGAGGAGAGTGGCATGGGGGGACTGCATCTTTCGAACAGTATCATCGACTTGCTCGTCATCTGTTCCACTCCATTTTTTTGCTCGTGTTGATATACGAACTAACCGATGGGTCCGTTTCAGTCGTTCAACCACAATACAACTCAAATTACCCACTGTAACAATCTGATAGTTGGAAGGGGGGTTGATAATCGTTGGCTATTTACGCGAAACTAAGACATTGTGTCTGGATAAAAGGGTTTATATATCAACGTTCTTCTATACAGGGCACAGTTGTGCTAGTACACGGGTCCCCATTCAGTTAATCGACGATCCATTCCAGCATTGGAAACATTTCAGCGAATCCATTCGGCAATCAGTGCCAGGTGGATGCTGTGTGAGCCAGGGATTTAATGGCCTAATTCACCAATGCCTCCGTGCATAGGATCGAAAGTTTCCACCTTCAAACGTGTGACCACTTTTGTGACGGAAATCCGCGCTATCTCACAGCCCGGTAGCACACGGCACATTGTGTGATCCCCGCAATTCACGCCCCTAAGCGTAGACAGTCGACTAGCACTGGTCGAACGGTCTCGCTCCTCCTCCTCCTGTGCTCATCACCACACTCAGATGTACAATGAAATAACTGACCACAAGATCCTAGTTTCAAACTTACTAATTTTACATGCCTGGTTTTAAGACAGTTCTATTGGGCTATGGTCGTTGTCTCCGGTGTGCAAATAATTGGCAAGTATGAAGTAAATTTTCTGAACCCTGCGAAAGGTATGCCTAAGGACTGGAGCTAAAACTGTGTCCGTAAACGACGCGTTCGAGAAGGTGAGTCGGAATGTCGGACAAAAATATAAACACGTCAAAATGGGCACAAAATCTGAGCACCGTCTGTTGATGTGGATCGCATGAGTTGATTGTGCTTCATCTCTCGCCCCACCCACCCCCAAACACTATCCTCGTTTCCAAAGCATTCGTGTACAATGAGTATGGTTTGACTCAGTCCAGACAGTGGAAATGCACCCCTGTTTGAACGAACGTCATATGACAATACCAGCATTCCAATCAAGCGATGCATGCACTCAAATAAGACGACTGACTGTCCGAATTGTATACGGGTACAGTCAGACAACTGGTATCTCGTATCATTGCCATCTCTGTATACGTTCTCTTGGAATCTCGCACCATAGATCGTATCTCATCACACCAAGCACAAATAGTGACACCTGGGACTTAGATCGGGTTGCAAGAAATGACGGGGAGGGGGAGGATTAAGCATACCCGAACCTCGATTGATCAAAAGAAGAATAAATCCAATGCGAGAAATGAATCATGTATGACATTTTAATCTTCTACCATATAAGTTAATTTCTAGCTCTGGCTTTTCGGCAAAATGCCAGTAAATACAACCGCAATTTTGTCTCATTCGCTCTAACTCAAAACCTCAAAACCCGTTGCATAATCGCTCCATCACACGCCTCGCGATAATGTTATCGAATTACGAAAACCGGAGTGACGTCACTGTGACTTTTAAAACTGGTTTCAGATAGAGCGATTACGTGGCACACGATCAATAAGCATCACGAGAAGCAGTTCCTCACAAAAGTTCGTTCAAATCACAATTTTCCGACAGTGAGAGATAGAAAGAGACAAGTGTCAAATAGTGAATCTTCCGAATTCCCGTCCATTTTCAAGTGAACATCATGAAACAAGAAGGCGCACAGGAAATCAGAGATGAAAGCCTCCAGGACAAAATCCAGAACATTATATCCGATGGAATCCATAATTGTACGGATCAACGTTCAAATCCCGATGAGACGATTGTTTCATCTTTCGACCAATTGAAACTGGACATTACACATATCGCTCAGAATGTGGTATCGACCGATGACCACTATCCAGTGAACGAGGCCCCAGTTCAAGCTGTTCATCAATCACGGCTACTAGACGACAGAACTGTTCGGACTCTTTTGCACGGATTGTTTCACACGCGGACACGACCGCAGGCAATTTTGGATCTGTGCAAACAAATGAACCGGATTCCCCAGTGTGGATCGCTTATCTATTTACGACCGGCCGTCTTGGCTGCCATTCTTCTGGAAATAGTGCGGCACTATCCGCTCGATTTTGGTCAACCCCTGAACCCCCGAGTGACTGAGGTAAGTCCAGAATTTGATTGAATTTCACTGTCGTCTATCCGTTCTCTATGGACTCAAAACATTAGATTATGGGGTACTAATGAACTGGTGCTTTGGGCATTTGTTTTCTATCAGATCGGTATTCTATTGGCACATCTGATGAGTAAGAGGAAGCTACCAACGAGAATCAACCTGGGCATGGTCAGCGAGTTTTGTTAACAAGCCCTCATGTCCAGGTTCAACTTCCATCGTACTCGGTGAAAAAGCATTACTAAAAGTATTATGGAAAAGAAACAGCTGTAAATGGCATAGAAGGGATGAGTCGGTTTTCAGATCTCTCACTGGTGAAAATGCATTACTGCAATGGTTGAAATACGGACAGATCACGAATTACGAATCACGTATTAGGAAGCACGACGCCATGTAGGCAATGAATCACACTGGCACTCGTACAACGGTAGCCCGCGCAATTGCGACACCAGGAAAATACCATGGGAGTAGCAGTTCACTTATTGAAAGAAATCAAGGGGATTAAACAACATGTACAAACGACGCTTCTTGGTTATCCAGGTATCTACCACTCGTGTGCCCGTATTACTGACGTCCTAAAGCTTCTGTCTGGGCCGCGCGGCTTCTGATTGGCCGGTATAATCAGCCTCTGGTTCGTAGTCTATAGGCTGTAAGGCGTAGGCCCCTTACTTACGTCATTTGGGAAACTTGAATTATCACAGTTGTCCGAAAACTGTAACGTATCGCCCGTGGTTTGCGTTATCCCGTAAGCTAGGATCACTACAGTTACGCTGCATTATAAATAGGTATTTGATAGAAAAGAGTTATGCATTATTTAAAGTAATTGATTGCCTGACAGCTGCTACTTAAATGACCTAAACACTAATCTATTGATTCAACTGACAGTTTGTTTGAAGTGAATAGGTCTGAACGAAGATTACATACCGATGGTAAAGGTTTTGCCCCCCGCTATGATCTCGTTGTATCAGTACTTGTACATTGTGCTTCAAACTTTCTCTCAACTTTCATTTGATATTAATTTCATTAAGGGTTCGGTTACACATGGGTGGATGTATTTCTAAACTATGCCAGTAATACATCATCAGATGTTGCAATCTAGTATACTCATCAACTTCTCACTATATATTTTGTTGGCTGTGGAATGGGTCTGGCTGGGAAACAACACCCCAAAATATTCCAGAACCACGAATCCACCAGATGAAACCAATTTCGAGTAGATCTGTCCTCGGGATGGAATGAAAAACACGTCATTTTGAACCAACCAGTTAACTGTAACAGGTTGGGTTTCAAATCTGTCAACAAATGCAATTGCAATGCAACTTTCAGCGGAGACGCTCAACCATTCGTCTCGGTCGATGGAAACGCTCCGCTTCATCACGTCACACCGGGGACAAGGTATTGCTACACTGATGATGATAGGTAGCTGGTTGTGATTCTATTAAGACCTCATGTAGTTCGCCAATCCAACTCGCAGGACTGAGGTTATCGTTTCGCAAAACAGAGCAATTCGTCTCAATATCTGTGGGATTTATCCGTTCTGTCGTTACATCATACTGGGGTGTTTTTATTTAAAAAAGGATGAATTTTATCTATTAACCTCTCTCTCTCGCGCGCGTTTTCTTGCTGCATTAGAAAGGATTAGAGCAAATATCCTCTCCAACTGGACTGGAACACTCTGCTTTCAACTAGCCTCATTCCGACAAGTTACTAGAAGCTCACAAATCTAGGCCATACCCCCCCTCCCGGTTAATTTTCTCGTGTACGGATTTGACCTACGGCTCCTTGGACTTTTTGAAAAACCACAACAGAAGTTGGAAGAAGGACAAGCGTCTCTGTTGAATAAAACCATCCAACAATACGAACGAATGTCGTCCTAACATGTTCTCTCCCGTTCAACAACACTTATTTCATCGAAGCATCTCTACGGCCAAAAGTTTCACGGGAACAATTGCGCAAGCGCACGCTTATTGTAGCCTTTCCCATAGACGTGTTCACAGATAAACGATGATTCGAGTGAGCACATCACGGGTTAGCGCTCAACACAGACTCGCGTTATTTGCCGATTCGCCTGGCACAAACAGACCATCACTAGTCCCCGTATGTCAGATACTAGAGTTTGCGCGTCTCCTAGAGGGAACAAGGTCCAAATTCGCTGTGGTACCCTAGGTCTTTTCATTTCCCGGTTGATTCATTTGATTAAATGTTCAACTGCATGCATTCGAACAAAAGGCTGCAATCCCGTGAGCTACACGGACTACTCACCACACACAAGTTCCCATTAGTTTTGCACGTCTGTCTGAAAACCGGGACCCTAGGAAGACTCCTCGTTCCGAATGATTATTCGAACCAGTGGGGAACATGTGTCTCCACTATGGTCTGTACAGTCATGATTATAAATTCTTCGGAAACAACAGTTCGCCTTTGGACTCGTGTTCTAATGTTCTACTGGGTTTATTCTGGAATTTAATATGGTATTGGGTATGTCCAATTGCATCATACGTTCGGACTGGAATTTCGTACTGTGAAGTAGACAGGCAATCAGACAGCGAATTGAAGTCGAACATGTTTGCTACCGGTCTCTCACAGTTACATCCATGATGATATACAAACCACGCTGTAAAGCGGATTGGTTAGTCTATGGAGATCAAAATGCGTAAAGTGAATCGCAGAATGACAAACAACGAAAGAGTATAGTACACACGCTGGGAGGTGGGTGGGGGAGAACTTCAGTCTCTCTGTCAATGGAGTTCTGGTGACTTGACCGAGATCAGTGTGGTTGCTTTTTCTCCTGTCACAATCGCTCGATAGAAGTCACGATGAGATTCTCAATCTCGATTAAATCGGGACCAGGGCAGCTGGATTGCTTGGATCAACTTACTTTCATGTGCACACGATGATAGCAGGTTTGTGCAATGGTTGAAATACGCGCAGACCACGAAATACGAATCATGTATCACGAATTACGGACACCATGTAAGCACTGAGTCACGCTTGCACTTGCACAGTAGTATCCCACGCAACCGAGACACGAGGAAAAGACCTCAAGAGTAGCAGTTCATTTATTGGAAGAAATCATGGTGTTTTTTTATTAATATGAACAAAAGGCATTCATTGGTCATCCAGACATCTATCAATCGATGGCTCGTATTTTTGACATCATACAGCTACCGTCTGGGCCGCACGGCTCCTGATTGGTCGATACAATCGGCTTATGGGTCGTAGTCTAGAGGCTGTAATGCGTAGGCACTTTGCTGACAGCCTGACACATCACAGTCTAGAAACTGTCACGGGTCGCCTCTTGGTTAGCGTCATTCCGTAAGCTAGAATCAACACAGGTCACCAAGGTAAAATTTCATCATCAAAATATCCGGCACCAAATGAATATACGCAAAGCTACTCGAGGGTTTTGAAATTTGCCTGAATCAGACTAATAATGCACTCACCGGACAATGTCATACCGGAAGCAAGATAGATACCGAAACGTTTAAATTCACGATCCAGTAAATTGATGGCGAACAATGGAAACCCATTTACGAAGTACTAAGCATTGTGTAACGATTGGGTCTAGAATGGTGGAGACAAAATCGTGATCAAGATTTCCTCAAAATCCTGAAACATATGTCCACAATCTACCTGATCTATTATTCGAAAACATGTTTCTCGAGGAGTTGTCATTTGTTTCGAGATTCGGCTCTCTACCCCCGAAATGTGATTAGGTATCAATGAAAACAGACAGAGTACGAGAATCTTTACTACCCAAGAGGACAGTTAACTTCCGGTACCCGATATCTCAATCGAATGGTTGGTTGCTGCTTCCGATATCGTTGAAATCATGTATCATGATATCAGAAACATAAGGCAGCTAACACAAAACACAAATATTGTGATTTAAAAACCGGATAAGTGGTATTATTGAGCCGAAAAGATGATGATGATGATGATGCTTAACGATTGATCAGAGTTGCCTCAAGAATTCAAGAGTTCAAAACCAAATATGAAAGTACGAGTCTTTAAGATTTGTGGGAAACTCACAAAACAGGAATAGCGTTATGACCAGTAATTTGAATGAGAAGTTCCATTTATCATTTAATCTCTCCATGGCTACTCACAATCCTGGATCCGGCGAGAGAGACATTTCGATCACAATATTGCCTAAAAGATGTGTTCCCGAGATATGGATGCTAGAGACTCATACTATACTCACTGGACATTCGGTTGTTGCTCCCAAACATCCCGCTGCTCGAAACCGGAGCGTACCCAAGCCACGGTATCGATGAAGAGCTTATAGATATTGGAATCCTAACGACAATCCCAAAGGAACCCATGTTGCTAGGCAATGCCCTGGTCCGATTCCGCGGACAGCATAACTGTGGGATCGCCGCAGGGCCTGCTGCTGAGAGATAATTGTTATTGTTGTCGTACGCACTGACCACGAAATACGAATCACGTAACCCAGAAGCAAGGAAAAAGCCTCAGGAGTAGCAGTTCGTTCTGTGAAAGAAATCATGGGGTTTAAATGATATGTACAAAAGAAGTTCATTGGTCATCCAAGGTTCTATTCCTGGCATCGAACAGCTTCTGTCTAGGCTTCTGATTAGTTGGTACACTCGGCCTATCAAGTAAAACAGTACTATTTTGAGATGTCTAGCAGCTAGAGATCGCCAAATATGCTCCATCAAAACAACAGAAGATACACGGACAGCATCAAGTATTTTCCTCAGAACAACGAATACCACAAGCGGTTCTTTGAAAACTACACTATAGAAACACCAACTCTTCCAGAAGCAACGACCGCAAAACGAAAGCACAGTTGTTCCTCCGATCGCCCCTCAAGGAGGACGTGGCGAGCATGTACTCAAAAGGCGACTAGGACAGGCGATTGCCCGCCAGTCTACGGAAAATGTTCACTGGCCGATGAATCAGATGCGTAAATCTCACCGACAAACCGTTTGTCCTCACCTCATCAATGGGCTACCTATTCGTTTACTTGA